CTATCGTGAAGAAATCCTGAAAATGAGCATCACAGTGCCTCGCCATGTCGTCTTTCATCCCCTGTGTAGAAATTTACTTGGGTGAAAGTTTTAAGGTTACGCAAAGCGCAGTACACTGCCAGTTATTCGTGTACAAAAATCCTATTAAATTGACATCATAGTGATACTCGTAACGGCTACTTTCGCCACACCTGCACAAGCTAACTTTTGAAGGCAAAGATAAAGGTTGCAGTAAACACGGCACCATGACATTGATTCGCTTGCTAAAGAAATCCAAAACAAAAATGGCTATTATAGAGCTCCTTGTCGTCTTTCGTAATCTTTGCAAAAATAAACTTTTGAAGGTCAAAGATCAAAGCCATGCAAAATCCGGTTCCCTGCTATCTGTTGGCTGCATGGGTAACGAGAGTCAGTTGCCACATACTTCAGTTGAGCTCGTCTGCAGTGTTATGGCTGTGAAACCGCAGTAACCTGTCCTCTCCACCTTCGACCATCACGCCCTCAGCACTCTCTGAGTTCGCCGCCCTGGTTGTGTTGACACCTGGAGGGGCGAGCACTGCTGGGAGCTGGTGCCGGGTCGATGCAATGTCCGCTCGCTCTGGTGCACAGACTGGCCGTGTGCGGTCGATGCCATGTCCGCTCGCTCGGGTGCACAGACTGGCCGTGTGCGGTCGTTGCCATGTCCGCTCGCTCGGGTGCACAGACTGGCCGTGTGCGGTCGTTGCCATGTCCGCTCGCTCGGGTGCACATACTGGCCGTGTGCGGTCGTTGCCATGTCCGCTCGCTCGGGTGCACAGACTGGCCGTGTGCGGTCGTTGCCATGTCCGCTCGCTCGGGTGCACAGACTGGCCGTGTGCGGTCGTCACCATGTCCGCTCGCTCGGGTGCACAGACTGGCCGTGTGCGGTCGTTGCCATGTCCGCTCGCTCGGGTGCACAGACTGGCCGTGTGCGGTCGTCACCATGTCCGCTCGCTTGGGCGCACAGACTGGTCGCGCGCTCTGGACAAGTGCACAGCTGATGACAGCCATCCAAGACGCATTCATTAGGCGACGCTTGGTCGTAGCCGACAGAAGGCGCAGACAAACTAGGGGCTCATATAATCACAGGTTTGACTCTGTATGCTTTTGGATGTGTAGCTACGCTTCTAACATTGAATGGGCGCATGTCAAAAATAAGTAGTTCATGAAGATCAGTACATTACCAACAACTCGCATGCTAAATTCATGACGTTAACATACATTATTGCTAACACAACTAACGGGCATGTTGTAGTATACTTTCTGATAACAAAGGTACGTTGAACGAAGCAAGGCGCGGTATTGCTATCATTTTTACATCTGATCCAGATAAACCGGCTAAACAATTCTAAATCGATTAGGGACGTCAATTGCGGGCACATTAAGTTCACGTTTATGCATGCAACATGCTTTTTGAACAGTCAAGGAATACAAGTGGCCACATTCTTGAAAAAAATCGTACCTTCCAGGGTCTTTCCTCAACGTTGTAAAACTTGCTGGCTAGGAGTGACAAGGAAGTATTTCACCACATTCCTTTCGCATTGTACGATTCTTTCAACGAACCAATTCGTTTCGATTTCGATTCAAACGAAACGTGTGCTATTAGCCGAACTTTCGGACCGCCGGCCTCTTGGAAATCAGCCACATCGGGCCGTCCGGATAATATGGTATATCTCTCGCTCTCGCTCTCGCTCTCGCTCTCGCTCTCGCTCTCTCTCTCTCTCTCTCTGTTCTCCATGAGAACATGGTGGGGACTGCGCTACTCGTTAACAAAGCACAGGCCAGCGCCACCAGCGTTGGACGATGGGCTTGTCGGAACAACGCGTAACAAGAGCACTTCGTAGATTGAATTTTCAGGATCTCGTCCAGTCGAGTCCGACTGGTCCAGATCCAGTTTGTCCGCCAATCCGCTCTTCCCAGATTGCACAATCCGATCAGGTCCGGTCCGACTTAGCGAGAACAAGATATCAAAGGGTTTTTTGCCAACCTGCCCCCACATTAAGAGCATTTTATTTGGTAATGAGATATTGGTTCACCGGAGTTTTTTGTGGGAAAAATGTGCAAAAAGTTGCTGCAAACCAGTATGTTCCAAGATTCTTTGACGGCTTCCAGCCTTTTGGCGATGCATTATTGCATGCAGATCTAAATAAACATGGTTCATCATATAACTTGTCATAATGCAATTAATGAAAAATGATTGGTCATCGAAGAGGTCAAAATTTGTTCTAGTGTTACAAGCATAGAGGTACGAGTATATTATCCGACATTTTCAGAATCCAGGTAGGGAGGAACACGCGTACACTTGCCTCTCGACGGCTTTGGGTGGCAAACACTTTACAAGCATAGAACGACGCGCATACTCACTGATAAGACAACCTACTCGGCGATCATTATTTCCTGCTAGATTATCGACTGCGTCAAAACTATGGTCCACGCGCGCGGCCGTACACTGGTAGGTGCTTACGTTACTTTCATCCAGGAGAATGAAGCAGTTGCGTCGTTTGTGAACCCGATTGCTGAAGTGCCAAACGCCATCAGCTCTCTCGTTATTGCTGATGCTGGCGAAAATACGGAACTTGCTATGTACATCGGCAATAAACAATACGCCACTTTGCATCCATTGTTACGCTTTCGACACGCTCAGCAAGGTACCAGCAACACTTCATCAGATGACGCAGCGTTTTTGGTTGAAGCATATAGCGTTTCTCGCGCGGTGTGAGTGCCTCAGGGACAGAAACATCTGTAGACCCCTCCCATATTCATAAAACGTGGTGCAAAAGCTGGGTAAATATCGTCCGTCCTCCGACATCTGTCATGACTGCTTGCCCCTCGACATCCGACCCACATACTTGGCACTTGTTCAGGGCTCCGGGATCGCACAAGCTACTTGAATGCTGAGGAAATATTCGGTTGTGGTATGAATGGACGATATTGGGTGACATCATATTAATTGCTTGACTTCATGTGTTAAGTGTTTTGAGCATTATAAATCATTACAAGACGATCATAAGTATGCAAATGCGCTGTTGGCGTGGAATTTGTGCATTGCTTATGCAGGTGGGAGTAGAATAGGTAATACACTAATCAATGAGTGTCTAGTACCTGCCTAATGCCCAAGCACTTTGCTGGATGCAAGAGGCACCTAAATCAAATCAAGCAGCTAACTGCTGGGTAAAAAAGCTGTGTTTGGTTCATGGTTGTAGCGGACGACATGCTCATTCTTTGAGATACATCAACTGGGGGAGGAGTGTGGGTAAAACAAAATATTTAAGAATGCAACAATACTTGTTCTGGCAGGGGCCCTACAGGTGGATCAGTTGGAACAACATACTTAGTTTCAGGCTGGTGCCAAACTCACAACTTCGGTGCACCGATAAGGTTTAACAGAAACTGCAGTGCTGCTATAGGACTGATCTTTCTTGACACGCGCTCGGGTGGGGATCAAATTGACCTCCCCGAAGATTTCTCCAGACTGGCTCCGAACAACGCGTCGTAGCCGCATCAAGTTTTGTCCAGCTGTAGACCATTGAATAGCAAATCGTGTGACATTAAAAATTTAGATGTACCTTGTAAGGTCGCTGACCTATGACAGGTCAAAGTCAGGCCATGGTTTCAGCGAAGGCAATTTCAAGGGAATCTTTCAATCTGATCCAACAACGGGGTGTTAGACGAAGTCACACAGCTCTGAGATACTTTTACAGGTAAAACAACCATTGAATAAACAAGTCATATTGACCTGGGGTCAGATATGAAGGTCATACCAAGGTCAAAGCTAACCTGTTTTATTACTCTAGCGCTTGCTGTATGGGGTAGTCCCTGGTCTTCATTTCGAATTTATTGATAACCAGAACCGCATTATACACCCTCCATAGACTTCTTAAAGGTCAGAATAGGTCACTGACCTAGAATGACCCGAGTCAACATTTATTTTTTAGGAACATACTGCCTAGCGTAATCTTTGCCGCTTATACAAATGTAAAACTCTTTTTTATACTCTGTACAAAACTCTTTATACAAGTGGTCTTGTATGATTTTGGTCACAAGGACCTTCAAACGTCAAACAAGGTCACTGATGTTTGATGTGCTTGTGACCTTTTTGATTTAAACAGTTGTCTAGGTTTTGTGGACCCTTTGGAGACCAGCCTGGAATTTGACCTTGCTTGACATTATTTTGCCCAAAAGGTCATGACCTAGGAACCTCGAATATTGACCTAAATGAGTTCACGTACAGGTCAACACACCCGTGAATTTGGTATCTCTAGCTCTCTTAGTTCCTAAGACCACAGAGGGGTCAAATTGACCCACCTCCCCCACCCGAGCGAAGGGTATTCAACCGGCCAACTGAGCGCGTGTTATTCTTCTTAGACAGGAGCTTGTACTGCAAAACTCCGTGGCAGTGGATTCTGCCAACAAAATATGTTCCTGTATCCGGTATTTCAACTCTGAAATGCAGTGCCACCCACTGCGGTTAAATGAGATTGCGGACAAAATCGGACGAATGGTAGCTGCACTATCATACAATAGGTATAAGATTACTGCGCAATCTAGTTATCTTGGAAGAAGTGAGAGCTCTGGCTTTCCATAACAACATGCACGGGTATCTCTCAGTCATATCAAGTTGTCAATGTGATATGTTCATCAAGAACTTTGTTTTGTGGAATATATGACTGAGCTATTGACTTTAGCTTGTTTGTGCACTGCCTGAAATAAAATGTACTGTACTTTATTGGTGTAAAGGAATTTGTAGTTGATGTCGTTATTAAGCAATTCAGAGACTGTCTAATGATAATTTCCACTTCCAATGTTTTGGTGAAAGCATTTGACCCAGCCCAATCCAGCTGGCGGACGGATCCACAATCTGTGTATTGGTCCAGTTGTGGAATGTTCCACGAGTAACTATGTCTGCACTGAAGCTCCGAACTCCTTCCACTGTTCACTGTAGCTAATTGCTCTCCTGTTCGTGGTTTAAAGCACATGATAGCTTTCATGCGTCCAGCAGTTTATTGCGCCTACATTTACGACCTAATCGGCTGCGCTGGTAGAAGCCCGACATCTTTATTACATGCACGCTATGCACCCAGTTCCAGCTATTGCGATCAATAGACCGCTTGGAACAACCACATTATACGCATGCACATTGGTGCACAGGAGTGTTCGCACGACACACATGCTCACTTAACGAAACGAGTTTAATCGATCTGCACTATTCGGTGTTATTTTGCTGGCTGTCATTCCATGTAGCTAACCGGACTGTAGGTGGGTTTGGTCGTTGTCAGGACATTGCGACATAGTACTACGAAAAAACATGCCATGCCCAAATGAAAAATTGTGTTAAGGGAACTTCAATCCAGACACCTATTTGTCAGCAGCCGTTTGTAGGACACACGCCCGGTTTGGCTATACGGTCGAGAACGGGGCGGCCGGGCTTCGCGGGCCGCTCGGGACGCCGGCTGACCCAACAGAGGCTGCCGCTCTGATAGCGGGCGTCAGCGGGCCCGGTCGGGGCGCCAGCGGGTGGCTGGACCCGACCGAGTCTGCCGCACTGGCAGCGGGCCGCTAGTGGGTCCGGTCGGGGCGCCAGCGGGTGGCTGGACCCGACCGAGGCTGCCGCACTGGCAGCGGACCGTCCAGTGGGTCCGGTCGGGACGCCAGCGGGTGGCTGGACCCGACCGAGGCTGCCGCACTGGCAGCGGGCCGCCAGTGGGTCCGGTCGGGGCGCCAGCGGGTGGCTGGACCCGACCGAGGCTGCCGCACTGGCAGCGGACCGCCAGCGGGTCCGGTCGGGACGTACAATCAGTTGGCCGCCGGGGCTGCCGCCGGAGCGTTCTTCAACGACATCTGGTACCTGCCGAGAATAAAGCACGACTGTTTAAACCGGACATACCGGTGAGTGCTGCTGACGCCGCCGTTGCTGCCGAGCGTGCCTGGAGGTGGCCGGGCGGTCGCGGGGACGCAGGCTTCAATCTTCTCAATAGCGCAATGTGACTATTGCATGCACACTCAGAACTCTGAGTTGTATCCGTCCTGATTTGGAATATGAATTCACCAATCAAGCTAAACCTGGTGGAACCGAGCTTTATTGAAGTCAATTTAAATTACTTGTCCATTAGAAGCCAGAGTCGATCTTTTCGTGTTAACCAGCACCACGTTCCACAAAAGCACGCCGAGGGTTAAGTGGGTTCAGATAACCAGCTACCAAATGAGGATAACACTGCATAGCGATAAAAGAACTAAAGGCATAAATAGCCCGCAACAATTTATTCCGCGGCTTTTTTAGCCTGACGTGGTACCAGCTCCTCCTTATCTTCTGTGGCCTTGAGGAAACTGGGAGCAAAGCCAGGGGAGATACAGTGTGCTCAGCCATGTTTTCTGATTTCTTGGAGTTCCTCTACGTATGCCCAGCATACTGCGAATGGCAATCACAAAACCACTAAATGACTACTCGCTTTTAACCCGCGCCCGGCTGGGGGAAGTTGACTCTCCCCTACGGTTTTCCTAGCACGGCTCAAAAACCGACGCTTGTAGCGACACGAAATTTTCAATATCTGTTCACTTATCAATTTAACATCCCCTGCGCAAATTTGAAGTTCAAGTCTTCCAAAATCAGTGACCTGGGTCAGGTTAGAGGTAAAAAATTTGACCGCACATGGGTAAACACTAAAAAAATTGGCCACACGTGACGTTTTCGTAGGTCATTTGTCATTACTCAAAATTGGTATAGTAATAGAACATGGTGGTACCTACAGTTGGTATATTTCAGACCCTTCGGAAAACGCGAGGTCATTGACCTGAAGTCAGGTGAATTGTTGTTATTTTTCGTAAGATATGCAAGTTTGTATGTATTTTGGTGTAGTCTTGGTGTTGCATATGAGGAAACAAGTACTAAGTTACATGCACAACAATCATATGACCACAGAACACATGCCCTTGGCCCAGCCTTATCTGCATGGGTACCTTCTGCAAAACGCATGTTGGGTTCAAAATAGGCAATTTACGAGGTAATTTCAGAAATAGCGTTGCACGCGTCGCTCGCCTTTCACGAGAGGTTTCAAAGCGAGTGTGATCCCTTGAGGTGAATGAAGCCTATATAACTTCTAAAACAGCGGGAGTCGGGCAGGGTGTCGTTATTTGTACTCCCGAGTGAGTGTTTTTCATGACACCCGAGTGGGAGCTACGAGCTTTTATATGGTGGGTTTTCCCGGATTCCCTATCGAAGGGGAGTGGGTTTTCCCATACTCTCTTTTGCTTATTTCGCTCATTATTGCAAATATATTTAAACCTCGCCTGCATGACTGTCACAGCGGGTGTCGTGTCTGTCCTTGGGACGTAACGACACACCCAGCTGCTGAGGCTTTCTGGCGTCGCCTGTCTCTCACCCTGGCAGGAAGGGCGGGCACCGCGGGGAATCGAACCCCGTACCTCTAGTTCCCGAGACACGCAGTGGTTACCGCAGACGCGTTATCCACTGCACTACCGGCGCCCCGCAGCGTGTGCCATTTGGCAAGGGTGCATGAGGGTGAAGCAGCGTGCTTGGCTTTTGCTCAAAGTATTGGCGTGTTCGGAGTTGCAAAAGACATTTCTACATGCATCACAGCGTTTTTACCGATGGCGTTCGCAGGAGGAGGGGGCACGACAGCGGATGTAAAGGAGATATGGAGGTTTACGCCCAGCTCACCCGATGGAGTAGAGTGTGGCCGTATCGCGCGCATGGCATCAGCGGGCGGATGTCGTTGGGCTCCGCTCAGTGGTCATCAAGATCCTGACGCGTGCGCCTGACTGAAGGCCTCCTAGATCCCGTCAATGCTGGCCGGAAAATTACACCATGTTTATGATAAGAGAAGAATAGAGAAGATAAGAAAATTAGCAGATTATATCACATTATACATGATCATATTCGTTTTGTTCTAAACAAGGTGTTTCAAGCTTTCGTAGCATTTATTACACACCCATTTTGAAGCTTTTGTGTCGCAAACATCACAGACTACACACGTCGAAAAAGCAAGGCAAGTGAAATGCACTACTTTCAGAGTGATGAGCAAGTCGTTCAATGGGATTTCTCCTGCAGGAGCGGCCGTTTAAAATCGAAATCATCAGCTATTTAGAAGGATTTCGAGGAAACTGGCATGACCGATCCAAACAGACGCATCTGATTCAACAGTAAGTGAAAAGTACAACAAAGGTGGCCTACTTCCTGCTATTGCCCGGCAAAGGCTTGCCATCCCAAATATGGTGATATTATTTTGGCCTATTTCGTATGCATTGCGCATATGTGAGCTTAAGTGCGCGTATGTCAATGTAACTGACATAAGTCAATGTGTTTTGTGCTCTGATTAAGCATGAATCGGCTCGGACAATAGTAGGAACTGCTAAGAAAAAAACTTGCAGATCTCCTCGGCTTCACCGACATTGATCTGCAGCCTGAACCAATGGAGGCCAAATTGAGAACGTAGGGCCCAAAACATGAAATGGTGATCAAACTGATAGTGAGTAAATGTGTAGCCGCGGTCGGCAACGCGTGGGTTCTGCGATCGGTGATCCCTTAAATCCAACATCACCGGCGCGTTGCATCACTGGCGCGCTGCCAATTAATCCTGATGTACAGTTAATTGGAACAACAGGCCCGCAGGGACGAATGGCCGCTAAATGCGACAAGTCATCTGACGGCTTTTGACAAGCCTTGGGAGCAGCACGTAGGGACTACGAACTGGACGTACTCGGTCCATGTCTATGTCCGTCATGGGTCCATGTCCATATCACCGGCTGTCTGTCTCGGTTTTAGCGAACTGAGATCGATCTGACCCACAAACAGGCAATTCGCAGCAGTCAGCATTGGTGCATTGGGGTTATGGAGCTCACGAAAGACGAGGCTAGTCAAATTCCAGAAGCAACCATACAAAGCAGCCACAATGTGTTAATAACGAATGTCATGTTCCGCTCTTAAGAAAAACTCGCTTTCTCTCCCACTTCTAACTCACTTGAAAGGTTTGATACGCCATCGCAATGAGCGCCATCAGGACTGCATCTCAGGACCACGCTGAAAAAACATGCAAAGACGCGCCCTGGAAGCAACCACGACGGATGCTCTGAGGAAAAGATGAGGGGAGGAGCGGGCAAACACGGCTCTCCCTTCTTAACGGAGGCCGCCCCCCCCCCCCCCCCCCTCCTCGTCTTCTCAGTTCTCCCGGTATCCCTGCCTTACCCATCATCTTGCTTATCTCACTACTAAGCTTACCTTATCACCTTGGCCAGCTGAAAGGTGCCCGATAGACCGACAAAGAAGTTAACGGCGAACAGGCTCCAGTTTTTCGGTATGATGACCAGCGAGTACCTGACGGGTGGAGGCACGGTGGCGAGTCACGTATTCTACGCTACACGCAGCACACAAACCCGAACGTCTGAGAGCAATGTGGCCTGTCATGGGTATAAAAACATATGAGGAGTGAAGGTAGGCGGGATTATCACCCCTGGTTTCTTGCAAAAGATTTACATCAGCATTGTAGTGACGCGCGGACGGAGACGATTGATTTCAAAATGAACTTTGGTTATTTCTTCACTCCAGCGCCGTGTGACGCTGCTCCGCCCCTGTTGACCGTACACCGCAGCGGCGGCACCGTTGCGTCCCACCGAGGGCCGCTGCTCACCCAGCTGTCAAGGGAGATCACCAGCACAGCAGCCAATCCATGGCGTTTGTGACGGCAGATACCGTGATTTAGATACGCGTGATACCGTGGCTCGATCCCCACTGTATCACACCAGCTTATATTACGTTCCCAAGTGCAGCAAGCCAAGCAGCAAACATCCAAGTCTTTGAGCACGCACCACCCAGCAGGACCACTCACCCCACCGCATCTTCCATGCCTACCGTCTGTTTTTCATACACATTCCAATTTAAATTCACTTTCTGCTTCCAGTCTAAGCTCACTTTCTGCTCCCACTATCGGGAATGGTACCATGTCGGTACTGACCAGCCTCCTGTGAAGTAGGTTGGTAACACAACCGCTTTTCGGTGTAATTCTCCTGTTAGCCCATAGGGCTGACGTGTCAAGGGCCTGCCTATCACAAAGCTGTGAACTGAAATAAATCAAGCCAATTTCAATAAGGCTGGCGCCAAACGAAAGGTTTTTGAATTGTCTTGAGCCGATCTATTGCCCTGTTGTCTGCAGAAGCCAGACTCTCACGGGGCGTGCCGGGTCCAAGTTTTCGTGCTCGGAGCGCCGTGAATTGTCCGGCTTCGCAGCATGTCCAATGGTCTGAGTAGCTCATTCGGTACCGTACCGTTAATCGCCCGGATCCATGATCGAGAGGTTGTGTGTTCCAAGTTTTATAATTTTTCTGCCAGTTCTGTGTGAGATGCGTGAAATTGTTTGCTGTCTGCCAATATATGCCGTCAGTGCTATGTGCGGCACAACTCCTTGAACGCTAAGTTTTAAGGACATTCAATATTGCAGCACTTGCACCATGCCATCTTCAGTTGCCAGCTGCCAAACATTTAGTACAAACTAAAATGTTAGCTCACGCTGCACATCTAGTGTATTTCCAGTTTTATACCGCAGTTTCTTGCACTGAGCCGTGTTCTTCTCGATATATATTACCGTGATATGAACAAGCCACGGATCCAACAAAATTTATTTATATTGCGAGTGAACGCAGACCAAGTGCCAAAAACTTTGCATTCGTGACAATGCTTCGATATCATTTATAATCACATTTACAACTGCCAACGAATTCATCTTCACACCAGGAAGCAAGTCATCCTCCATTGCAGATGCTTTGATTCACTCACCTCATGTGCTTGTAGAGGCATGCAAAAGTGCGTGAAGTGTAAAACAATATTTGGGGGCAGAAGCTACGTGATAACTTGCCTTTTCCAGCGTAAGAACAGCTTGAAGCCGCCTAAAAAGGGTTTGATTTGGTCATTTGGGGATTCAACATGCGTGCTTGCCCACCAACCCCACTTTTCCATGCAACACATTTGGAAATGCTGTCTTGGCACAATTAGATGGGAAAATACGGGGCACAAACGACACGTAGGTCACACGCTTAGCAGTGGTGAACAATTGCATTAGCCCTCTCCCTACGGCAGCTTTTCACCTTCGCCCTACGAGGAGGTCAACAGCATTGGACAGCTATCGACAGGCTGAATACGATAGGTACGTCCGGACAGTGATGAAAGCGACCTTTAATGGGCCACACCACGTCAAATGAACCAGATTAGCACATTATGGAGCCCTCCCCTGTAAGTTCCATGACAAAACATGCTGCGCCGACGCCGAAGACGGCAGCCAGAGGTGCGAGGTTCGATTCCCCGCGGTGCCCGCCCTTCCTGCCAGGGTGAGACGCAGACTACGTCACCAATGACAATGACGCGGAAGACGACGCTAAACAGCTCCTTAGAAACTTTACCAGATAAACGCTGGTGGACATCGACACGTGTGACCCGTGATGGGACATATCAGGTCAGAAAGGTGAGGGAGATTGCTTAACTGGCACGTGCGGCTATGTCAAGAACTAAATAAAGAAAAACAGGGTTAAAAGGCTCACCCAAACCTGAAAGAAAGGTACCATTAAGTTTCAAATGGTAGGACTTTCAAACAGTCAATTCCATTCGCAAAGCTCGAAGTTAGGCCTAGCTTGACCTTGGATGACCTGCCCTTACAAAGCCACAAAAATGACAGCAGTCCATTGCAGAGTGATATAAGTATGAAGATGAGTCTAAAAAGGCATCTTTGAAGAGCATTTGTTTCGGGGAATTAGCGCTTCTTTTTCGCTTTTCTGCAAAATGCCACCTGCCCGGCCTAAAGAAAGTCGACTTAGATCGTGAACAGTCACGATAAAAAATTACATTCTATCGTCACATTTTGCATTTCATTACATTCTTAATAACATTCCAGCAATGCACTCAGAATCAATGAGCCGTCAGGCCGGAGAACCAACAGAGGCTTCTCAGGCTCCCCTGCAGAATGAAACTTAAAAATATATTCAGACGCACCACTGAGTGCGATGCAGTGCATTTATGTACTTTTTTTGGCAATGGTGCATGCCAAACACACTGCCCGTAAACAATAGAGTGAATCTCACCTTTCACCGGGACAGCCCGTTGCCAATTGTCCGCCGATTTTGGCGACCGGGGCAAAAGGCACGCGCCTTCTTCCGGACATCGCGACAATCGGATGGAAAGACACGCGCCTTCCTCCGGACATTGACACAGTCGGGTGGAAAGGCATGAACTTCCCTCCTGACATCACCATAGTCGGATGGAAGGGCATAAAATTCCCTTCGGACATGGCCACAGTCGGATGGAAAAGCATGTGCTTTCCTCCGGACATCGCCGCAGTCGGATGGAAAAGCATGTGTTTTCCTCCCCACGGAAATCACTGCAGTCGGATGGAATGGCATGCGCTTCCCTCCCAACATCGCCACATTCGGGTGGAATGGCATGCGCTTCCCTTCGAACAGCGCCACATTCGGATGGAATGCCACACGCTTTTTTCCGGACACCGCCAAATTCGGGTGGAATGGCACGCGCTCCCTTCCGGACGTCACCACATTCGGATGGAACGGTGCGCCCGCCGAGGGGTGCACAGGAGCAGGTAAGTTCGAAATGAAGATTAGTTTCCATAGGAAGAGGTTCTTATAACTGCGATGAGAAACCAAGCAAAAGACACATTATCAAACTTGTTAAACGTTCCATCACCCGGCGTGCGCGCCAATCTTACCGGCGGGCGGCAAGACACTGTTGTAAAAGGTTTTCACTGGGTAGGCGGTCCTCGTAGGGCAATGGCCCTTTAAGAGTCCTTCTACGTAACAATCTACCACCCATAACACAGCACAGCGATGACACATCTGCGAAGGATATAGCCTTTTACCCCTTTCAGGTACGCATGCAGCGGCACCACGAGCTTTTTCAGGGGTGGGCAATGGCAGGCCAGTATTCGGGATTGACCATCACCGTAGAGGGGCCTCCAGAGGCTAAAGCAGCCTCACAATGCGTTACAGTTTTGATCATCCGGGAACTTAGGGGACCGAGGAGATTACGAAGGCCTCATGGGAAATAGCGATGTAGCCAAGTCATGTCTGAGAAGATAAAGATAACTGTGATACCAGTGACAACAGGTGGGAGGTGACTAGACGGTGGTGCCGCTCCACGCAATACCCTGTGCTACGTGTACTGAATAAAATATTGAATATAGTGGTGAAAACAAGGGCGGAATATCACCAACGTGGACAGCTCAGGCGCAGTCAACAACAATTTTTTTCAATGATGAGATGTTTTCGCGCTGCTCGATTAAAATGGTTATGTCGAATATTTCCATGAGATTACCAGCCGCCAATCCACAATAGGAGGCAACAGCACGCTTGAATTCTGTTAACCGAGTTTTGTTGTTTGGTTCGGATTAGACAACCATAATTTGATCCCGCCCCCATGGAAATGAGCATAAAACGTTCGGGAAACACTGGCTTGTGTTAATCAAGTTTCATTGCTTGGTTGGGGAATATTGTTTTGGGAAACACCGGTCTGGGTTATGCCGCTAGCTGCTGCGCCAGTGCCATGCTTACTACGCATGCGTATATTTTCCATGAACAGCGATAATAAAGAGACAATCTATGTTTTCTTCTATATAAAAGCAATTCGTCACTTCTTGAAGATACAGGTGGGACAGCCCGCGTCGTCAAGAAGTGACGGATTGCCTTTGTTGACACAATTGTTGAAAAATAACCAAACACTTCTCGGATCCTAAGACTCCAGCACAACATCAGCGCTCATGAAGCGACTGCGTGACGCCGTCATCGTTGCTGTGTTGCTGAGTGACTGCCGTCATTGGTGCTGTGTCCTGCTTCGACAACGGCAAGCCTCTTCTGTCAGTCCGGACAGAAGCCCTCGCCTGGTCTTGAAAGCCGACCTCTCTTAGTGCAGAGAAGTCCGTCCTGCTTTACGCATCGAGACCTTACCCATCCTTATGAGAGCTTTCTGCTGCACCACGACCACGGGCCTCAGCCATCTAACATACGTGCTACATAGGATTGGCCAGCGCCACATGCTGGTGGTGGTGGGTCTTCTCCTGGTCGTGACAGTGCTTGCATTATTTTGACATCCTCTTGTTCCTTACTGAACATTTTTCTTTGAAGAAAATGGGACGTTCTTCTGTTGAAACAGGGGCTTGGAACCGTCCAACTTATCGCTATGGCTGAGCTGCACCGGGCCGAGGCCCTAGGCTGTAGCCCCGTCTCGGTCATCACACCGACTTGCTGACGCATCCTGGCTATCAACCACTGACCTCTCCTTGATGGTACTGGAAATCGTTGTTGGTCATGGCCAGACTTCCTGACCGGGCCCTTCGACTGACTATGACTAGAACTATCATAAATTCAGAGGGCGTCTTGAGAATTCAGGGTGGATATGAATATATGTCAGCCCATCCTTTCCACCGACAGCTGTCATCAGAAGACGGTCCACCCGGGCCGTCTTCTGGTGGCGCCTACGTACGTCTCACACCAAGCACCTGATTAGTTGCTTATTTAAGTTTTCGGACACTTCGACATATATTGAGTGTGAGAGTTATGCCGGCCCATGAGAGTAGGAAAAAAAACGGGTGCATGAATGAAAAAAGGATGGGCACAAATATAATCAATAAACGAACACGATAGCGATTCGCCTCGCACAGTCTGTGTGAGACAGAACCAGGTATGCCTGCAGAAGCGCACCTGGTGCAGAGGAAGTCTGCTCAAAGAGGCGTACCTGGCCCAAATGTAGCCGGTGCAGGCGAGTGAGCCGGCCTGGCTGATGCTCATCTTCTCAGGAGGTCGTGTAAGCGTGTCGGACAGGCCTGCTAACACCAGGCACTGTCGGCCACAGAGATGGGTGTCATTCAGGCCTGGTGAGCGCGACAGACCAGCCCACTGGCACCCGACGCTGCCGTCCTCGGAAGGGAGTCCGGCGGGCCTGGCGAGGCAGATATGACGGCAGCGCTAGGCAGGCCAGACGGCGTCGCGCAGTGCTGAATAGCAAACTGACAGCAAGAGACAGCAACAGAGAGCAAGAGGAAGCGAGAGAGAGAGAGAGAGAGAGAGAGAGAGAGAGAGAGAGAGAGAGAGAGAGAGAGAGAGAGAGAGAGATAGAGAGAGAGAGAGAGAGAGAGAGAGAGAGAGAGAGAGAGAGAGAGAGAGAGAGAGAGAGAGAGAGAGAGAGAGAGAGAGAGAGAGAGAGAGAGAGAGAGAGAGAGAGAGAGAGAAGAGAGAGAGAGAGAGAGAGAGAGAGAAAGAGAGAGAGAGAGAGAGAGAGAGAGAGAGAGATAGAGAGAGAGAGAGAGAGAGAGAGAGAGAGAGAGAGAGAGAGAGAGGAAGAGAGAGAGAGAGAGAGAGAGAGAGAGAGAGAGAGAGAGAGAGAGAGAGAGAGAGAGAGAGAGAGAGAGAGAGAGAGAGAGAGAGAGAGAGAGAGAGAGAGAGAGAGAGAGAGAGAGAGAGAGAGAGAGAGAGAGAGAGAGAGAGAGAGAGAGAGAGAGAGAGAGAGAGAGAGAGAGAGTGAGAGAGAGAGAGAGATTGCATTATTTTTTACACCTATTTCAATTTGCAACAGATCTTCGCTACAAAATGACTAATGATTTTCACGAAGCCATCAACAGCCTGTAGCAGGGCGCAGAAGACCATAGTGATATATCTCGAAGTTCAAGGATTTATCATGTCCAATACTTTTCCAAACAATAACACTGGAAAGAACGCTACATTACAATAAGATGCATCATTATTTGCTAACAAAACACTTATCTTATTCCGTGGAGAGCTGGTAGAAAGGTCCTTGGTCGGTCCGGGTTCGAACACATGCACTCCCGTCTACGGACACGACACACTGCGGACTGCGCCACTCAGACTGAGCCGTGCACCCACAGTGAACAGGAAAACCTTAACCCGGTAAGCCATCAGAGTTTGGTTCATCCGGACAAAAAAAAAAACAAACAAAGCTAGCAGATTGGAGCAATAAAAGCACCGATGATTCTTTCGGCGCCGGGCTCATCGTAATCGGCAATCAGAGTTCGGTTTGCAGCTCTCAAAAAAGTATACCTGTCGTGTTTCATTCCAATGGGATGGTAGGAAAAGCGGTAGTGCCGCCGATAAACCTCGTCTGGGACCACGTTACACAAGGCCCATGAAGATATCATATTTGGTGATGAATCCGACGGAATTGGTGGTAGCAAAGGGAAGGCATAGCGGGGGTGCCTTGCAGGCCTGAAGACGGTGCCAGACAAACCAAATAACTCTTGCTTGCCGAACCGGATGGCATAAATACGTCAGCTCGGTCATGGGGACAGAAGAGACATATTATGGGCATTTGGGCTTGAACGCACTGGATAAGAAATGCTGATGTGCACTGGGCTTGAAGACCCATTAAGTAAAAACAGCTTGCAAAATATGCTTGCCAGTTACCACTAGAGAGCATCATAGTTCGCTGTTGTCAGCGCACTTGCATAAGTGAGTGCAACAATGTTTCCAGACGCGAAACTCACAGGAGCAAAAAAAAATGCACGTTTTGGTGATCTCAACAAGGTAGAAAATTCCAAGACGATGCTATGCGAATGCTTCTTACCCATTTCTGTAAAGGTGACCAGAAGAAGACCGTCTTCGGTCCTAAGAGGGAACACATCAATGTAAGATAACATGTATAGTGGTCGCAGGCAACATCATGTGGAATGTACCCACCACCGGTCAGGTGAAGCCAAGGCGCACCTCTCAGATCGCATCACGTATGATATGGACACCAATCAGTAATCAGCAGTACCCAGTAGTCTTACTACGTGTCTAGTCATACTCCATGATATAGTTTCTTGGATGTAGGTCCATCAGTCAAACAAAAGAGCTTCATTACACAACAACCATAGCGATGGCAACGAGGGATGTAAAAACGGATTCCAGCAGGAGACTGGAAACAAACATAGCGGCTTTACACAACAAATACCACTGAACTGCATGTGTTGAACCATCTAGTTCAATAAAAAAAGATGACAGTACGTTACACAAAAGCAAGTCTCAGGGCTGGAAAACATAACACACTCACGTGCTCGTCAAACGACTTATTCGACAGATTTTGACAACAGCCATTGTTTAGAACTTCTGGCAGGTCAAGGTGCCTCGTTCAAGTTATTATCTCACAACAGTCATTGTTTAGAACTTCTGGCAGGTCAAGGTGCCTCGTTCAGGTTATTATCAGTCATGCGAAACTAGTGTGGTATCAAGTATGACACAATTGATGGCCATATGAGGTTATAGCGCATAAATACCAAACCTAGAAGATCTCTGCTGTTCATTTGCAGTACAAGTCAGACCGGGCTCCGTATTCCTTTTCCAGAAAGGCTCCCAGTTAACCCTACTTGGGACGGGGGCGGATTCTCCCCCTAAGATCTTACGAATTGCTTTGCTTTACCAGTTGTCCTGTCGGTTCCAAAACAAAAAATGCAGTATATTTCTCCTGGCCAGATCTGCCTTACCAAATAAACAAAAAAAAACAACAAAAACTGAACATGTTTCTCTGAGCTGTTCAGCAAGATGACAACCCAAAATGTTTGATCCGGCGTAGTTGTCTCGTTTTGCAAACGATTCCCACACAATCAACTCAGAGTAATGTATCATAATTTTCTGAGATTGACATGTTATGATGATACTTCAATGAGCATCGAAAATTCTTAGGCGCATCCAGGGGGTCAAAACATAATGATAGTGCAGCCTGTCAACAGGGGATTTTCAGCAAGCGTATGGGGCAAGTATAGATGGAGTTTTGCTTTGTTATTATTAAATCGGGTGTAAGCCATAATTAGGCGGATTCTGGTACCCAGGATGCTGTGGTGCTGTTGGGCAGGTACAAAGGGAAGGTACATGAGCTGTGCATATAACTCTAGGCCACAATGCAGTTTTACGCTGTAAATATAAATGTGTTCTAAATATAAATGTGCTCTATGATGTGTAGGCATAGCACTTATGGAAATGCGTCATAAGCGCATCCAGTTGTACTGAGAGGTGGTAGCTGGACGGCGTGGTTGGAGCCCGGCTAATGACCGCCGCCGTCAGCGGACGGCTCGCAGGTGCTTACTACGCTCACCGCATAATGCAACCACCCCTTCCGTTTTTCCTAGATTAACCTCTGATGCACAGTTGTTTTTATTTGCTATTTACAGCACAGAAGTGAATGATAAAGGGCGTTTCACGCCATTTAAGGTCTTCCTGCTCCAGATGATGTGGCTCCCTTACTCACAATCCTGGAGCCGCCTCTGCATAAAAATGTTCCTCTGTTTTTTATTTTTCAGAGGAACAGAAAAGTGCTCCTCTGCACTTTGTTTTGCAAATTATAAACAAATATTTGTCATCGCATACATCCATCGATTATACTCGACGTGTGGTCACATTACCCAAAGCACGATTCAAGTCTCAGATCCATCACACACACAACATCACATCACCCCTCTAGTTAGTTGGTCACTGGATTTTAAGCGCGCGTCAACTTAGTCATTTACGCCCAAGCCCCGCAATACTGACGGCTTATATTTGTTTTTCCTGCGTCCTTCGGATATCACGCTTTGGTATACTTCAGTGTGAAATGCAAAACTGGGGACATTTCCGGAGGTTGCTCGCACTCCATCGCGCCTCATTCTCAGAGGACCATCCTGGAGCATTAGACTGTACCGCAGTACGAAGCTGCCTTGCGAAACAGTCGCGTGCCCTCGGCAGCAGCCAGGTCAGAGGGGTGGAGTGATTGATGGCCAGCCCCTCTGTTTGACGGTGTGGTAGTGAAGCTTGACCGGTCCATTAGAGTTATATGTTGTCGTGGTCGTCACCAATATTTTTCAGTGCAAAACATCGTTGGCATTAACCGTTGCGTAAAAATTTACAGTAGTTTGCCGCCGAACTTTACCACCAAGTCGGAGTCTTTCGTCATCCAAGTGTGTACTGGTTAAACATCTTACATTATGTGAGGATGAGCTTCGTAATTAAGATCGAAACAAAACATACCAGACCAGCACCTTAACCTGATATGCAAGGTATACATCCTGTTCGCTATCGCCACATCACGTCTGCGCGAAGTGGCATTCAACTGCAAGTGCCCAGGTGGCTGTTTAAATGCTCCACGCGCGGGTGGAGGGGACATTTTGACTCGCTGATAGCTCAAAAACTAAGAAAGCTACAGACACAACACCTATAGGATAGATAGGTCTTTGTGCGAACTCATCAAATGGTGAGCTTTGAATTTTGTGTCAAATAAGGTAAACCAAATGCTCAGCCTCGAGACCCCCCTCCCCCCTCTCCCCCTGTCCGAAGTGCCTGTCCGAAGTGACCGCAAATATTCGTATCTCTGAACTCAACTTATCAAATTGTGAGCGTTGGTTCTTGGGTAAAATAGGGTAAAAATGCTCAATTTCGAGTACCCCCCCCCTGTCTAAAGTGCTTGTCCGAAGTGACCTCCCTCGTTAAAAATCTCGTTACGCAGCCAACGTCAATCTACCTATCACTGATAAGCAAAATTTGTCTCGTGTTCAAATTAGGTCGGTGAACTAAGGAAGCCTTCAAAAAATGAAAATTAACAAAACCATTCGGCATCGTGACGATATTTTAAGTTACAATCAGCGCTCAATACTACCATAGGCTCCATGTCCCTGAAACCCGAGTCCATCGAGGATATTTTAGGTCGGTGACCTTCCCTTCGCCCTGGCCCTCTTGGAGTCAAAATAAGAAAACGTCTGACCTCTTTGTGATCCAGCAATTCCAAATGAGAATCAAAACTACTTCATAAACAGTTTTTCAGTAATAACGCGATAAGGTTTTGAACCTTACCTCTGACTTACCCTAACTTATACACGTCCAAGGTCGATAAAATTAGTTTTAGTCAGAAGTAAGAAGCCTGATTGCCAAAAAGAAGATCTCAAAGTTGTATTACTTCGTCTAAAACTCTGCTGTTGCATCATACTGAACGATTCCCCAGGAATGGCCTGTGCTGACATCAATGGCTTCGACCTGCCATAGGTCAGCCACCTTACAAGTACATCTGACTTATACACCACAAGATCAGCTGTCATTTTACCTACCAAACATATACCAAGTTTAGTGCTGCTGCGCCGTGCAGTTCGAAAGTTATTTTGGACAAATCTTCAGGGGTAGAATTAACCCTCGACCTGACCACGTGTTAGTTAAGGAAAATACTGGCGTGCATGTGGCGTGGCGTAATAAGACAGTGTTGTGTCCCGATCTATCTCATTTTGAGACCGAGCTATTGCACCTGCCTTGCAGGGCTCTTGAGTTCTGGTCTGATTTACGTTGATCCAGACCTGAGTCCGAGTTTGAGTCCGAGTCAGTTTCAATACTGAAATGAACCGATACACCTGAGTTCGTGTCCCAAATGGTCACCGGTGGCCAGTGTGCCAGCGATTTTAAACCGGCCAGACATAGACCCATGTCTGCTATCGGCACCAATATGCCCATTATGGTCGTGGATTTGGATGTTTCCAGGCTTGGCGCGATGACTCTTTGAAACCAAGAGAGCGCTCGCTAAAAAAACGATGTATCTTTCATGAAATCCAACAACATATGAGAACTGATTCACGAAGAAGGTGAAGTCGGATGTTGAGCAAAACACGATGCGAAAGAGCGCCGGACGCTGCAGTGGAGAGACAGGTGGCGGCACAGCGTTACGAAACTACCATTGGATGGCTGCCAGCATTAAACTGTGTCTTCCATGCTGAAACGCTGAAGCAGAAGTGTAACTGAAGGCAAAGGACGTTCGAAAAGAAAATTGTGTCAAAACAAGGTACGGAATATTAGGGAAACGATATTTGGGCATTTACGACTATAACGTCGAACTGAAGAGGGATGTGATTTTGACTACTCTTGAAATGTGCTGCAACAGCGAGCAATTGTGGAGACACACATGTCTCAGTCCGTGTGTCTATCGAGTTTTACAATTTAGGGGGTTCCTCCATGCAGGCTTCGAAGTTGAATAACCTCATGACATCAGATGTGGTACACTCCAGGATATGGACACAACGGCGCATGATAGTAGGTGGTGAAGATGGAGGAATTTGCACAGGCCGTTGACACAGGGAAGAGGATCGGTTTAACCAGAGATCCCTGTGCAGGATCGTGTGGCAACAGCGATGCTATTGCCCGACGACTGACCGTACCTTCTCCGATCGCTCGATTAAGGGATCATTTAGATGCCGCGCTGCATCACCCTGGCTTTCCAGGGAAACGTCATGACAAGTACTTTCAACGGCGCTGCAGCCAGCGGCCATGATGGATGCGACCTGACATGCATCGGCGTTCGTTGTCAATCATCCGACAGCGCCGAGTGAGACGCCCTCCGTGGAATGGCGTGGATCATGTGTGTGCTGAGGTCATTCACGAGCGCCGAGTGAGACGCCCTCCGTGGAATGGCGTGGATCATATGCGTGCTGAGGTCATTCACGTGATGCTTATGTGCATAGAAAGCTAGTAAGTGTACTAAATTGAGCCAGTCACCATTGAACAAATTTTCTTCGTCTTTTAAGAACAGGAAAATTGGAGGATAAAATTTGTTCACGTTCATTCTTAGCTTAATACACGGCGGTGACGTGCACACCTTCTAGGTGTTTGGAAAAAACAGAGTG